CCGCCGTCAGGGGGGGGGGCGGGGTGGGCGTGTCCTCGGCTCGCGGCCAATCAGAAGGCGGTGTCTCCCTCGGGGCGTGGCCCGGCGTAGTAAAAGGGGGCGTGGCCCGCGCGGATTTCTTAATGGAGCGGCGGCGGCGGGCGCGCGGCGCATGCGCGCTCGGGGCGGCGATGGCGGGGGGGTCCCGGGGCGCGGCGCGGAGCTGCCCCCGCCGCCAGCACCGGAGCGGGAGGAGCGGCGAGCCCGGGGCAGCGGCGGCGCGGGGAGGAGGAGGAGGAGGAGGAGGCAGAGGAAGGACGGCAGCGGCAGGAGGAGGCGGCGGCAGCGCGGCATGACATGACGGCGCCGCTCGGGCTCCCCCCGCGCTGGCCCGACGCGCTCGGCTGCCGCTGCGAGGACGCCCCGCGGGAGAAGCCGCGCATGGAGAGCCTGGGCCCGTGCCGGGACAGCCTGGGCCCGTGCCGGGACAGCCTGGGCCCGTGCCGGGACAGCCTGGGCCCCTGCCGGGAGATGCTGCCCCACGGCGTGGCCCCCCCGGCCGCCGCCGCCCCGGACGGAGCCGCGTTCGCGGAGCTGGCGGGCGCGGAGCCGCCTCGGCAGTGCCCGTCCGGAGCACCCGCGCTGGGCTACGGCTACGCCTTCGGCGGGGGCTACTACGGCTGCCGCCTGGCCGGCGTCAACCTGCAGCAGAAGCCCTGCGGCTTCCACCCGGCGGACAAGTTCCCCGAGGCCGGCGGCTCCCTGGCGAGCGAGGAGCTGCCCGCCAGGGCCAAGGAATTCGCTGCCTTCTACCCCGGCTTCCCCGGCTCCTACCAGGCCGTGCCCGGCTACTTGGACGTGTCGGTGGTGCCGGCGCTGGGCGCGCACCCGGAGCCGCGGCACGAGGCTTTGCTTCCCATGGAAGGATACCAGCCCTGGGCGCTGCCCAACGCCTGGGACGGGCAGGTTTACTGCTCCAAGGAGCAATCGCAGTCCGCGCACCTCTGGAAGTCGCCGTTCCCAGGTAGGAACTGGAAAAGGGCTCCGCGCCCCGCTCCGGCTGCCCGCGGTGAGCGCGGCTCTGGCCCGGGAGCTTCGATCCCGATACATTCGTTCCCGGGAGATTCGTTCCCGGGAGATTCATTCCCGGGAGATTCGTTCCCGGGAGATTTATTCGGTATAGATTTATTCCAGAGAGGTTCATTCCCAATAGATTTATTCCAGAAAGGTTTATCCCGGTTATCCCATCGATCCCGGTTATCCCATCGATCCCGGTTATCCCATCTATCCCATCTATCCCGGTTATCCCATCCATCCCACACTTCCCATCCATCCCTTGTATCCCGTGTGTTCCCTACACTCCGTATATCCGGGTCTATTCCATGGATCTGTTCCTGTTCCATCTCTTCCACGTCCATTCCATAGATCGGGATTTATTTATCCCATATATTCAATGTATTTATCCCACCTATCCCACATATCCTATATCTGTATCCCGTCCATTCCCTGTATCCGGATCCATTCCCTGTATCCCGCATATTCCATACATCCCGATGTATTTATGCCATATATTCAATATATCCCATCTATTCCGCATATCCACACACATTTATTCCATGTCTTCCATACACTGCGGATATCCGGATGTGTTCCATACATCCCATATATTCCATTTTTTTCCGGTCTATTCCTTATATCCCATTTATCCGGGAAGATTCCAGATACATTCCAGATATATTCCGCATTTATTCCACGTATATTCCACATTTATTCCACGTCTATTCCACATTTATTCCACGTCTATTCCACATTTATTCCGTGTATATCCCGCGTTTACTCCATGTATATTCCGCGTATATTCCGCATATATTCCAGATGTATTCCGCGTAGTTTCCCTCTGTCCGGGTAGCTGTATCCCGCATTTCCCGCACTCCCGGATTTGTTCCGTGTATTCCAAGCGCCCGTGCGGGGCCGCGTGAGCTCCGGGCTGGGTAATTAGAGGGAAGCGCGGCTCAGGAATGCTCGGGAGCGGGCAATGTGCACGGGCACGCTCGGCGGGGTGAGGCAATCCCGATCCAAAACCCCGCCGTAATTCCCTGATCCTGCCCTTTTCTCCTGCAGCAATCCCGGTCCAAATCCCCTCGGCAATTCCCTGATTCCTCCCTTTTCTCCTGCAGCAATCCCGGTCCAACCCAACCTCCCAAATCCCTCCGCAATTCCCCATTTCTTCCCTTCCTTCCCCTCGCTCCCGTCGGGATTTGCTCGGCGCTCCCGCCCTGCCCGCTCCAGAAAAAAGGGAAAGAAATGGAAATCCTCCCCAAAAACGCTTCGCGGGGAGCTCGGTGCGCCGGGGCCGGGCGCTAAATGAGCTCCCAATTAGCGCAATTAAGGGCAGAGGTGTCAAGTGACGAGCGGAGCTGTTTGGGGCAGGAGGGAGGCGCAGAGGGGTGGGAAGAGCCCGAAAAAGGGGAAAATGGCCCCAAATTCCCCCTCTGGAGCAGCTTGGAAGCCACAAAACCCCGGGGGCTGCTCCTCCCAGAACCCCAAAAAATTTGGGTTTGTTGGGCCGGGGAGAAGCGAGGGGGTCGCGTTTTTCGGGGTGGGGGGCGCGTCCCTTTATCCCCCCCCCCCCCCTTTATCGGGACCAAAATTCAGCTTTTCCGGGAATTTTTGGCACTTTGGGAAGGGGAATTCGGCCGCACGGTGTTGGCTGCGTGTGGGGGGTTGGGTTTGGGGGGGCGCTGGATTTGGGGGACCCCGCTCGCCTTTGTGACCCCAAAAAGAGCCCCCAAAGCCTCCCCAATTAACGCCTGGGCCGTAATTAGGAGCGCTCGCCTCCATCTTCCTGCCCCGAATTTCGGGGCTCAGCTCCCGCCCGAAACCCTGCCAGGGCTCCCAAAATTCCGCGGGGAGCCAGAATTCCCGGCAGCGCCAGAGCGGGGCTGGGGGCGTCCCCGAATCCCCAAATCCCAAAATTCCCAAATCCCCGATCCCATTCCCCAATCCTGGAGCCTTTCCCTTTCCCCCGCATCCCCAAAAAGCTGCTGGAGAGGGGGAAATCCGGATTATTTTGTGCCCCCCCGAGGGGATTTTTGGGGTTTGGGGGCCCCTGTGTCCGCGCCGGGCGGGGTTTTGGGGCTGCTCATCCCAAATTTTCTGCTGCGGGAAAAGAAAAACGGGATGGGGGAAGAAAAAGGAAGGAGGGAAAAGGGGAAAACTCGAAATATTGCCCCAAAAAGGGTTTGAGGTGCCTTTGATGCCCCATTTTCAGTGCGAGGCTTTGAGGGCGGATGCTCCTCCTTTATCCGCGGCCAAGGAAAACAGGGAATTATCCCTGGTGTGTTTTCATTCCCATTATCCGGAATATGATCAGCCATTATGCCTCTCCTCTGGCGACCTTTCCCCTCTTTTCCCCCCTCTTTTCCCCTCATTTCCCCTCTTCTTCCCCTCATTTCCATTGTTTTTTTCCCCATTTCCCCCTTTCCAACTCCACCCCCAAACCCCAAATCCCACCTCCCCCATTCCCATTATTCCCATTCCTCCCCCCAATCCCCCATTTTTCCCCCCATTATTTCCATTTCTGACCCATTTCTGACCCATTTCTGACCCATTTCTGACCCATTTCTGACCCATTTCTGACCCATTTCTCCCCTCTCCCCCTGCCGCAGATGTGATCCCGCTGCAGCCCCATTTCACCCCAAACCCCAAATCCCCCGTTTTTCCCATCATTTCCCATTTCTGACCCATTTCGCCTCTCCCCCCGCCGCAGACACGGTCCCGCAGCAGCCCCATTTCACCCCAAAACCCGTTTTTTCCCATTTTTTCCCGTTTCCCCCCGTTTCTGACCCATTTCCCCCGCAGCAGACGTGGTCCCGCTACAGCCCGAGGCCGGCGCGCTCCACAAGAAGCGCATTCCCCACACCGACCTGCAGCCCCATTTCACCCCAAACCCCGGCTTTTTCCCATTATTTCCCACTTTTTTTGCCATAATTCCCCGTTTCTGACCCATTTCCGTCCGTTTCTGACCCATTTCCGTCCGTTTCTGACCCATTTCCGCCCATTTCTGACCCATTTCCCCCCGTTTCTGACCCATTTTTACCCGCTCCCCCCGCCGCAGACGCGGTCCCGCTGCAGCCCGAGGCCGGCGCGCTCCGCCGGGGCCACAAGAAGCGCATTCCCCACACCGAATTCCCCATTTTTTCTGCTATAATTCCCCATTTTTTCGCTAGAATTCCCCATTTTTTTCCCATTTCCCCCCGTTTCTGCCCCATTTCCCCCGCCGCAGACGTGGTCCCGCTGCAGCCCGAGGCCGGCGCGCTCCACCGGGGCCGCAAGAAGCGCATTCCCCACACCGAATTCCCCATTTATTCCCATTTTTTTTTCTGTAATTCCCAATTTTTTCCCGTTTCCCCCCGTTTCTGACCCATTTCCCCCGCCGCAGACGTGGTCCCGCTGCAGCCCGAGGCCGGCGCGCTCCGCCGGGGCCGCAAGAAGCGCGTCCCGTACTCGAAGCTGCAGCTGAAGGAGCTGGAGAAGGAATACGCCAGCAGCAAATTCATCACCAAAGAGAAGCGGCGCCGCATCTCGGCCAGCACCAACCTGTCCGAGCGCCAGGTCACCATCTGGTTCCAGAACCGCCGCGTCAAGGAGAAGAAAGTGGTCAGCAAAGCCAAGCCCGGACACCTCCACCCCACCTGAGGGGACCCCGCGTCCGCCAAAACCCCCCGGAACGGAAAAAAAAAGAATTCAGAATAACCGCAGAAAGAGGGAAGGCGGAGGAGTTGAAAATTTTGTGATTTTGGGGGTTTTTTTGGGTTTTTTTTTTTTTTTTTTTTTTTTTTTTTGGTGTCCCCCCACGCCGGGATGCTGCTGGGTTTGGGGTATTTAAAGAGAATTATCGTGGAAAAAAAAAAATTAAATTTTTTGGTTTTGTGTTGAAAGAATTTAAGAAATCCGAGCCCCAGAATCTCTGAAATCCGGGTTTGGGTTTTTCCCGTTGGGAAATTCCTCCCCCCACACAAAATATCCCGGGATTTTGGGTGTCGGGGATGTTTTGAAGAGGGGAATTTGGGATGTGGAGCTGAGAGCGCGGCGGAATTCCCGGTTTTCCCCCCATTTTTCCCGGTATCCTGAGCTCGGGCATTCCCGGCATGGAGAAAACGCCTGGGAAAACAAAATTCCCAAAAAAAAACCATCCCTGGGCAGGGCTGGCTGCGCGTTTTCCCGGTTTTTTTGAGGATGGAAAAATCGGGAATGGGGACAGAATTCCCTGCCCGAGGCCGGGCTGGGGGCGCGGGGCGGGATCGGAGCCGCTCCGGGGAAATTTTGGGAATTCGGGGAAATTTTTGGGAATTTTCCCCCGCGGGTTTTGCTCGGCTTTGCGGGAAAAGCGGAATTTCCCGCCCGGATTTTGGGGTTTCGGGGTTCTGGGGCCGTTCCTGGAGCTGTGAAAGCGAATTTTTATTGGGTTTTTTTTTTTGTTTGTTTTTTGGGGGGTTTTAATTTGAATTTGGAATTTCTTGGGGTTGTCCTGTCGATGTCCGAGCTCGTGGTGTCCGCCTTGTACCATTCCTTAGAAATAAATCGCTTTTTTTTCCCGTCCTTGTTTTGCCTGGAGGACAAAACAAAAACAAACCCGAAACTCTTCTTTTTCAGGGAAAAGTAAAAAAAAAAAAAAAAAAGGGAGGAAAATGCAGGAAAATTGGGGAGAAAAAACGGGAAAATTGGAGGATGGGAAAGGGAGAAAAGAATCGCGAGGGGGGCGAAGCGAGAGGGTTAAAATTGGATTTTTGTTGCGTTTAATTTTTATTTATTTTTTGAAAATTTGAATGGATTTTATTTATTTAATTTTTATTCGGTCTATTTTTATTTAATCGTCTCTTTTTATTACTTTTTTTTACTGAATCTCTTCCTGGTTAAGGTCTTTTCACTGAATTTAATTCAATTAATTATTTCAGTTCAATATATTTGTATTTAACCGCGTTTTCATCTCATAGACTTTTATTTAATATGTTTTTATTTAATATATTTTTATATTATACATTTAATATATTTTTATTTCATTTCATTCTTAATTTAAATTTTATTTCTTTTTTTTTCTCTCTCTCTCTTTGTTTTTTCCCTCCTTAAATCCGCTCGAGGGGAGGGGGAAAAGGGGCCAAAATGGGCTTTAAAATCCCGATTTTTGCAGGTTTCAATTTGCCCGGAGTGCGGCAAAAATCGAGGGGAGAGGCGGGATGGGAATGGGGGAAAAATGGAAATTTTTGAGGCTGAAAAACGCTCGTGAGGGCGGCAAAATATCCAATTTAATGCAGATTTAATGCAGATTTAATAGAGGTTTAATAGAGGTTTAATAGAGGTTTAATAGAGGTTTAATAGAGATTTAATAGAGATTTAATAGAGATTTTTATGCATTTAATATTTATTCCACATCCATTTCCGTGTCCCCCCAATATTCGGGATTTTTTAGGATTTCAGAGCGGATTTCTCATTTTTTCCCGGATTTTTCGGGGATTTGGGGCCGTGGGAGGGGCGGAATTCAAAAAATTCGGATTTTGGGGCGCTCTGGGACCTCATTTTTGGGTTTTTCCCCTTAAATCCCGCCCTAAATGGGAATTCCCGGCAGTGTTTCATAGGAATGTTTGGAATCATTTGGGATGGATGGAGAAATTTGTAGGAAAAGGAGAGAAATTGAGTAATTTCTATAAAGAGAGGATGGAAATGTTGAAAATCCTCAAAATTCCCAGGAAAAAAGGGATGAAAACCCCAAAACGAACCCGAAAATCCCAAATGAATCCCAAAAAAAAACCCCGAAAATTCCAAAAAATCCCCAGAAATCCCAAAATAATCCCGGAAATCCCCAAAATAAACCCCAGTAATTCCAAAAATAAACCCCAATAATTCCAAATGAAACCCTAAAATCCCAAATTTAACCCCAAAATGGGGGTTTAGCCTTTGGGGGTTTTTTCCCTCCCAGAATTTTTCCCGGGATCCCAAATCCCGTTCCTTCCCCGAGGTCGCTCCCGGTGGATTTGGGATCCCCGAATCCCGGGAATTCCGCCGGACCCGCCCCTCTCCCGTTTTTGGTGGGAAAAGTGAAAATTTGGGGTTTTTTTGGGAATTCTCCCAGCGGGAAAATCCCAGACTTTGATCCCGAGGTTTCTCCCGGATTTTTTGGGGGGAATTTCAGCGATTTGGATCCCGAATTTTCCAGGTTTTGATTCATTCCCGGAGCTGCTCGGGCGGGAAAAATCCGGATTTATCGGGATGGGAGCCGGAATTCCTCGGGAAAACATTCCCAGATTCCCCCCGGGCGGGAAAATTCGGGATTCGGATTGGAAAGAGAAAATAAAGGGATTTGGGAATGGGGAAAAATCTTCCCGATTTTCCTCCCTGGGGGACGGAGCTCGGATTTTCCCGGGAAATCGGGAGGGAAATTGGGGAATTTGGGACATTTTGGGACATTTCGGTCAATTTTGGGTTGATTTTTGTCACTTTTGGGTTGATTTTTGGTCGATTCTGATTCGATTTTTGAGCATTTTGGATTAATTTTTTATCGCTTCTGGTTTAATTTTTTTGGGGTCGGTTTTGGGGTTACTTTTGGTCATTTTGGGTTCATTTTTTGTCATTTTGGGGTCATTTTGGGTTCATTTTTGGCGATTCCAGAGCGATTTTCCCACCTGCGCCTCCTTTTTCCTCATCCTGGCGGCTCCTTCATTCCCGAGGATTTCAAAATCCGGGATAAAAACCCCAAAGAAGGAGAAAATCCAAGGAATTCCTTCCCTGGTTCCACCCCGGGCTGGGATTTTTGGGATTTTGGTGGGAAAATTGGGAAACCCCGCGGAATTCCGGGCGATTTCCTGCCCGCATTTCCCAAAATATTTGGATTTCCCTTATTTTTGCCCTTTTTTTGGAGCTTTTGGGCCCATCCCGGCTCCCGCTGCTGATTCGGGAATTCCCGGGGGCCTTTTCCTTCATTTTTCCCGCGGATTTTGGGAATAAAAATCCGGATCTGGGCCGAGCTGAGCGCTGGGAAAATGAAATTCAGGGGGAAAAGAAAAGGCAAAAATGGAATTTTTCCCCCCTGAAGGGAAGAGGGGGGAAAAGGAATTAAAGTGGAATTAAAATGGAATTAAAATGGAATTAAAATGGAATTAAAATGGGATTAAAATGGGATTAAAATACAATTAAAATACAATTAAAATGGAATTAATATGAATTAAAGTTAATTGAAATGAATTAAAACTAATTTAAATGAATCAAAATGGGACTAAAATGGAGCTGAAATGAATTGGGATGAATTAAAATGAATTAAATTTAATTGAAATGGAATGAAAATGAATGGAAATGAATTTAAATGAATTTAAATGGAATTAAATGAATGAAAATGAATGAAAATGAATTAAACACGGGCAGGAAAATGGAATTTAATCCGAATTCTGCCCCGAGCCGCTCCCGATCCCAAACGGGACCAATTCGGGACTTTCGGGGCTGGGCGCAAGGTGACGTCACAGGCGATGACGTCACGTGCAATGACGTCACGTGCGGTTCCCCTTGACCTTGACGGGGGTCCCGGGGGAATTCCCGATTTTCCTGCCCTTTGTTCCCGGCCCTTCCCGGGATTTTCCTTCCCGCTTTGGGCTCTTCCCGTTCTCCCTTTGTTCCCTTTGTCCTTCGGGAATTTTCTCCTCATTTCCCATTTTTCCTTTTTTTCCCCTTTTCTCCCCCAATTTCTCCCTTCTCCCCTTTTTTTTCCTCTTCTTTCCCCGATTTTTTCCCTTTTTCCCTTTTCCCCCCTATTTTTCCCTTTCTCTTTTTCCCATTTTCCCCCCGCTGATTTTTCCCATTTTTCCTTCCTTTCCCCTCATTTTCCCTTTCTCTCTCCTGTTTTTTCTTCTCCCATTTATTTCCATTTTCACCATTTTTTCTTTCATCTCTAAATTCTCCTTTTTCCCATCATTTCCCTCCTTTTCCCATTTTTCCCTTTTTCTCTCCCGATTTTTTCTTTCTCTTTTCGATTTTTCTCTCCCTTTTCCCATTTTATTTTCTCTTTATATTTTCTTTCTTTTCCCTCTTTTCCCCTTCTTTTCTCCTATTTTCCCCTTTATTTTCCCTTTTATTTTCCCCATTTTTCCCTTTATTTGCCCCATTTTCCCCCTTCTTTTCACGCTCCCAATCCGACTTTTCCCCATTTATTTTTTTCCCAAAAAAACCCAATTTTTTTTTAAGGATCGAACCCCCCCAGGACCGGGAATTTTTCTCCTTCCAGCTCGAGGTGAGTGCGGCTCCAATTTTCCCGATTCCACAAAAACTTGGAAAGGACAAAAGAAAAAGAGGGAAAAAAAAGGGGAAAAAGAGGATTTTTGATTATTTTTGGGAGCTTCCAGAGGCTTTGCCAAGGAATTTTTCCCGAGGCGTCTCCAGCGCCGCCGCTTCCCGGTTTTTTTTTGGCCGCTCCGCCTCAAAGTGGGGGGAAAATCCCTCTTTTTTTATGGATATTTGGGAATTCCATCCCGAAAAATCGCGGCCGCGCTGCGGGCGGGGCCCAGCGCGGGCGAGGATCCCAGAAATTCCCTTTTTTCTCCTCTTTTTCCAAGGAAAATTGGATCCAAATCGCCTCTTCTGGGCTCCTCCTATCGCGACTCGCTCGCGACTCGGGAATTCCACCCTTCTCTTCCCGGTTTTTGGGGATTTTTAGGAATTCCGGGGGAAAAAATCCCAATTTTTCCCCCCAAAGCGGAGCTGGAGTTAAACCCGAATTTCCCTGGATTTTGGGGCTGGATTTTCCCTTCCCGGCCTGGCAAAAATGGGGAAAAATTGGGGGAAAATGGGATTTTCCAGGGATTTCCCTCTTTGGGACCCGCAGAGATTCGGGCTGAGCTAAAGGAAATTCCCATTTCCAGCTTTTCCATGGAATTCTCTTTCTTTTTGGAGCCAATCCCGCTTTTCCAGCTTTCCCAGGTGCGGATAAACCCCGCAGTAAATCCAGAAATCGGTGGGAAAAGCGGATTTTCCACCCCGGGAACATTCGACCATCCCAAAAATCCCATTTCCACGGGATTTCCCCGAACCTCTCCATATTTATTCCCCAAATCCTGGATTTTCAAATCTATTTATTTTAAATTTATAATTCTTTAAATCCTTTTTCTTTATTTCCCCCCACCCTTTTTGCTCAATTCCCGATGGATTTGGGGCGAGAAAAGAAACCCGGGATTTGTTTTTCCAATCTCCGGACTCCCCAAAATCCCTTTCAATTCCCTTTTTCCCTCCCAAATTTTACTCCCAGCTGGGAAAAATCGGGATTTTTTTTGGCCTCGGGATGGTTAAATTTCATTTTTTGGGGGGAGAAAATTCTGCGTTCGGAGCCGGAGAAATTCGGGATATTTCCATTTCTTGATTCCGCTTTTCATTCGGGTTTCTGGAAAAGGCGGGATCGGAGATTTTTTTGGGAATAAAAATCCCGGATCCAGGCCGGGCCGAGGTGGGAAAAAACCCAAAAATTGAATTCAGGGGTGGGGGGAAAAAAAGGGCAAAAATGGGATTTTCAGGGAAGAGGGAAAGAGGAGAAATCCCGGGAATAAAAGCGGGGGGAAAAGCGCGGAAAGAGCGGGAATTGAGCCCAAAAGTTGGGAATGTTTTCCCGGGGCTCATTTGCATGGGATGCCGACCCTTTTTACTGCCCGAGACAGTGACCTTGAACTGCGCTTTTCCAGCCGCCTCCCTCCCCCTTTCCCGGGATTTTTATGGCTCCGCCGCTGGAATTTGATGATTTTCGGGCTTTTCCCCCCCCCCAACCCAGGCTGGGAATTTTCCTTTTCCCCCCCAAAAAAACCCCGAGGGAAAATGGGGGAAAAAAATCATTTTTATGGAAAGGTTTTGCCTGAAAATCGGGATTTTTCCAGCTGGGAAAAAAGAGGGAATTTTTATTTATTTTATTTCTTTTCCCCCTGGGGTTTTTTTTGGGGGTTAAAAATGGGAATTGCGAACCGAGGGGTTTTTCCAAGCGCTTTAAGTGGGAATTGGGATTTTTTTAAATTTTATTTTATTTTATTTTTTTGGGAAAGACGTCCCGGGGGTTTTTAAAGTAATTTTTTCGAGCTTTCCCCTAGCTGGAAAATGGGATTTTAATGGGAAAAGAATTCCCGCTGGAAAGGCGGGAGCGCCGCCGAAGGGTTTTTAGGGTTTATTTTTATTTCTATTTTGGTTTTTATTTCTGCCTCGGATCCTCTCCCAGAGTTCCAGGCCCCGCTCCCGATATCCCGCGGCTCTTCCCAGCTTGGAAAACCGGGAAAAAACGGGAAAAAACCGCGAAACGCCCCAAGAAAAAATCGCTTTTCTCACCCCGAGCCTCCCCGCAAAAAATGCGATTTTTTTCACTGAATATTTTACCACAAATTTCCAATAACCGAGAGGGGGGAAAAACCCCAAAATCCCGGGATTTTGGAGAAATTCCCTTTCTCCAGCAGGGAACAAAGCCCCGGAGCAGCCGGGACAGGAATTTTTGGGCGTAGGGAAGAGGAAGGAATTTTTTTTTTCCCCCGAAAAAAAATAAGAAATGAGCAAAAGGGAGCGAACAAAGCCAATTCCGGCGGCTCCGCGGGGCATCACGTGCGCGGCTTTTATTGAAATTATTCCTCCCCTCATCCAGCGCCTTTTTATTCCCTCCTCCTACCTGGAGGGGGAAAAATTCCTTGGCAGGGCTTGAAAAACGCCCCGAAAAAGAGAAAAAAAATGAAAAAGAAATAAAAATCCCACCCGAAAAGAAGGGAAAAGCCCCCCCAAAAAACGCGAATTTTGGGCGTTTCGGGAAATTTCTCGCTCGGGTTTTGTCTCCTCGGCAGGGAAAGGTGCGCCAGGAGCCAGGGGAGCGTTCCAGGCTGGAAAAACGCTGGGAAAAGGTGGAATTTCGGGTTTTTCCACCTCTCTGCAGAAGGAAAAGCCGCCCGGAGCAGCCGCACCTGATTCCTTTGGGGGTTTTCAGGGATTTTTCCAAAGGTCTGGAAGCCTCCAGGAGAGGGGGGAAAAAAGGAATTTATTTTGGGGGGAAATGCCCGAAATCCAGCGCTGGGGGGAGGGAAAAATGGGAATTGCGGCGGTTTCGCCTCTCCGGGGAGAATTCCCGGGATTCAGGGGAGGGAAACGCGAAATTCCAGCGAGGGGGAGCCAAAAAAAGGTGGGGAAAGGGGAGAAAAATGGGATTAAAAAGCACAAAAAGAGGAAAAAAATTCCACCCCAAGTCCCCCGCAGGTCCCGTTCTCCACTCACAGCTTTCCCAGGATTTCTTTTCCTTTCCCAGGATTTCTTTTTCTTTCCCAGGATTTCTTTCTCCCCTTCCAGGATTAATTTTTCCCTTCCAGGATTAATTTTTCCCTTCCAGGATTAATTTTTCCCTTCCAGGATTTATTTTTCCCTGCCAGGTTTGTTTTTGGGGATTTTTTTTTTTTTTGAGTTCATTTCACGCTGGAAGGAGCCGGGGTGGATTTTTATTTTTATTTTTATTTTTAAATTATTTTTATTTTTATTTTTTAATTATTTTTTCCCCCTGGTTTTCCTCGGGAGAAGGGGGAGGGAGGGAGGGAGGAATAAATGGAATTAAATCCCCTCTGCGCCACTTCCAGGGGCGGGGATGGGCCAGGAAAAACGGGAATTTCGGGTAATTCCCCGGGGAAAAATGGGGCAAAACCCCGATTTTAAGGGTTGGGGAAGAAAGGAATGAAAACGGAGCCGGAGCTCGCCAATAAAATGGATTTTCCCGAAAAAAAACTCAAACCGGGAGAGGCCGGGAAGCGCTCGGGAAGCGTCTGGATCCTCCCAGAGCCGCGGAGGCCGGGAGAGGGAGCGGAAAAATGAGAAAAACCATCAAAAAACGGTGAAATGATGATAAAAATGATGGGAAAATGACCAAAAAAATGACAAAATAATGATAAAGGCGACAAAAATTGACACAAGGATGGCCCAAAGACGCTAAGAGGAGCTAAAACAATAATGCGAAATTATTAAAAATTACTAAAAATGATAAAACAATGATAAAAAATGATAAAAAATTACCTAAAAATGATAGGAATGGATAAAAAGTTGATAAAAAATGAGCAAAAAATGATAAAAAATGGAGAAAAATGATGAAAACTCGTCAGGAAAAGGTGATAAGGACCCAAAAAAAGGGAAAGTGGGGAAGGTCGGGAACGGCTCCGGCTGGAACCGAGCCCCATCCGTCTCCTTAAAAAGCCCCGTAAAGTTTATATGACACAAAATCTAATGGGGATTTATCGGGGCGACGCCGCAACGCCGCGCTTTTACTTAATCAAGGAGTTCATTAATTAATTAATGAGCGGCGCCCGCGCCCCTCGTGGTTCCCCCCCCACACACACACACACAGACACCAGCAGCGGTTTTGGGGTGAAAAACGCGAATTTTTCCTGCAAAAAATGGGATTTTCCGGGCGTTTGGCCAGAGCTGGGGTGACTCAAAACCACCAAAAAATGGAATTAAAGCCGGAGGGGATTTGGGGAGGTTTTTTAATGGTTTGGGTTTTCAGAGAGGGGGGGAAAGGGAGGAGATATGAGGGAAAAAGGAGGAGAAATGGGGGAAAGGGAGGAAAAATGGGGAAAGAGGGAGGAAAAATGGGGAAAAGGGAGGAAAGATAGGGAAAGAGGGAGGAAAATAATGAGGAAAAAAATGAGGAATAAAGGGAGGGGAAAGGGGAGGAAAAAGGGAGGAAAAAAGGAGGGGAAAGGGAGGGGAAAAGGAGGGAAAAAGAGGGGAAAAAGAGGAACAAAGGAGGAAAAAGGGAGGGGGAAAAAAAGGGGAATAAAGGGAGGGAAAAGGGAGAAAAGAAAAGGAGAAGGAAGGAGGGAAAAGGGAGGGAAAAAGAGGTGGAAAAAAAAGAGGAAAAAAAGGAGGAAAAAGGGAGGAAAGCGGGAGGAACCGGGCTCTGTTTTGTCTGGGCTGCGGAGGGGAGGGGACAAAGGGGGAGGGGACGGGGGGGGG